ATCTAGTTTCGTTATATATATATATATATATATATATATATATATATATATATATATATATATATATATATATGTATATATATATATATATATATATGTGTGTGTGTGTGTGTGTGTGTGTGTGTGTGTGTGTGTGTGTGTGTGTGTGTGTGTGTGTAAATGCATATAGGCATACACATACATACTCAATTATATATATCATACATGCACACAAACACACTTCCACACACACAGATTTTACGGCACTCCCGACAAATAGGACGTTTCCGAAAAATGCATATGGACTAGCTTTGATCTAGTTTCGTTCTGCTGGGGTTTTAGACCAATTGATAGCTACAACCACAAAGGTCTTAGCTCAGCGCAAGCGAAAATCGCCGTGTCTGGTGTGACCGACTCACACGGCAGTGTATTCATGCCGAGTTCACGTTTTCTTTAGGCCCGTTATCCATTCCCTTCACTATTTATTGCAACTCGCTTTGCAGAATGCATGATTCGCATCGTTTTGACATCGGGGGTTGCCTAACCAAGAAAAGAATTCTGTAATTTGTCTTTTATTTCTTGATTGTATACTGTCATTCTTCTCTTTGTAAGGTTTGAAAGTATCCCGACTACGAGCCTAAAAACAATTCACTGAAAATCAGACCTACTTACTTGGGTTGTTGGGTCACTGCTCTTAATGCGAATAATATCCTGAATTTAATTAATCGTTTCTAAATAAGGAAAATAAAGATAATTATAGTGGCATTACCACATGGGTTGTGATATATTTCATCTATTACTTAATCCCGAGCTGACTGATAGAAGATGATGTAGAATGGAGAGATGAAAAGACGGAAGAAGAGAGACGAAAGGAGAGATGAAAAAAAGGAAGAAGAGAAAGAGACGAAAGGAGAAATGAAAAGAACGAAGAAGAGATAGAGACGAAAGGAGAGATGAAAAGAAGGAAGAAGAGAAAGACACGAAAGGAGAAATGAAAAGATGGAAGAGAGAGAGAGACGAAAGTAGAGATGAAAAGACGGAAAAAGAGAAAGAAACGAATGGAGAGATGAAAAGACGAAAGATAGAGAGACGAAAGGAGAGATGAAAAGACGGAAGAAGAGAGAGAGACGAAAGGAGAGATGAAAAGACGGAAGAAGAGAGAGAGACGAAAGGAGAGATGAAAAGACGGAAGAAGAGAGAGAGACGAAAGGAGAGATGAAAAGACGGAAGAAGAGAGACGAAAGGAGAGATGAAAAGACGGAAGAAGAGAGAGAGACGAAAGGAGAGATGAAAAGACGGAAGAAGAGAGAGAGAGACGAAAGGAGAGATGAAAAGACGGAAGAAGAGAGAGAGAGACGAAAGGAAAAATGAAAAGACGGAAGAAGAGAGACGAAAGGAGAGATGAAAAGACGGAAGAAGAGAGACGAAAGGAGAGATGAAAAGAACGAAGAAGAGAGAGAGACGAAAGGAGATATGAAAAGACGGAAGAAGAGAGACGAAAGGAGAGATGAAAAGAACGAAGAAGAGAGAGTGACGAAAGGAGAAAAGAAAAGACGGAAGAAGAGAGAGAGACGAAAGGAGAGATGAAAAGACGGAAGAAGAGAAAGAGACGAAAGGAGAGCTGAAAAGAACGAAAAAGAGAGAGAGAGACGAATGGAGAGATGAAAAGACGGAAGAAGAGAGAGAGAGACGAAAGGAGATATGAAAAGACGGAAGAAGAGGGAAAGAGACGAAAGGAGAGATGAAAAGAACGAAGAAGAGATAGAGACGAAAGGAGAGATGAAAAGACGGAAGAAGAGAGACGAAAGGAGAGACGAAAAGACGGAAGAAGAGAAAGAGACGAAAGGAGAGATGAAAAGACGGACGAAGAAATAGAGACGGAGGAGAGATGAAAAGAAGAAGAGAGAGACACGAAAGAAGAGATGAAAAGAAGGAAGAAGAGAAAGAGAATAATAGAAAGACGAAAAGACGATATCAACAGGCCTAGAAAGACCCCTATAATTTAAGTAACCCATATTCCGACCTATATATCACGTTCGTCCAAACTACGTAGTATGAACAACAGTCTCACGCGGTACTGACTTCGTGACTTCAAAGAGACTTGAGCTCTTTAATGACTTCTATAAAGACTTCTGTTTACGTTGATATTGATTCGCAAATGCTTAATTGCCTCTAATTGATGAAGAAAACGGTGCCCTGTTTCGTTTGTTTTAGAATTTCGATGAAAAAAAATGTCAATAAAGAGAAATGTCAATAAAGCAAAAACTCTTGTTTTTGTTTTGTTTTTTCTTTAGTTTTTTTTTTTCTGTAATGTTAAAGAGTTATAGGCATCATATTAAAAATACTGGTCTCTATGTGTCTGTATTTCATAGGTTCCATATATGAGCGAGCTATTGTGTTAATATCGACAAAATTGAATTATGATAAACACGCTCCCATCTTATATGTATATGTATGTATGTATGTATATATGTATATATGTATATATGTATATATATATATATATATATATATATATATATATATATATATATATTTAAACACACACACAGATGTATGTGTGTGTGTGTGTGTGTGTGTGTGTGTGTGTGTGTGTGTGTGTGTGTGTGTGTGTGTGTGTGTGTGTGTGTGTGTGTGTGTGTGTTTGTGTGTTTGTGTGTGTGCGCGCGCGCGCGTGTATGTGTATTCATATTTTCTTAATATCTTGTTTTTTTTAAGAGATGCCTGTCAGCTCATGGCATAGTGGATTTCAACCGAACCTGCCCTTTTGCAAACACGTGCACTTCACTTAAACACACTCAGCTAAGGTCACATGCAGTATAGACTAAGGGCGTGGAGACTGAGAGAATGGACATTTTAAACAATAAAGGTTAAAGAAGGTGGAATCAGGAACCGAGTCAATGTGGAGGCTTTAAATAAATGAGATCTGGGACCACGTCAGTTTGCTGATATTAGTTTTATTGAATATGGTAATTAATCATAGTTGTAATGATGCTGGTAGTGATGACGTCGACGATGATGATGTTATTGATAAGGATGATAATAATAATGGTGGTGATGTGTGCGATGATGATGATGATGATGATGATGATGATGATGATGATGATGATGATGATGATGATGATGATGATGATGATGATGATGATGATGATGATGATGTGGAGGAGGAGGAGGAGGATAAGTATGATGATAATGATAATGATAAGAATGAGGATGAAGATGATGATAAATGAGAATGATAATAAGGATGATAATGATAAGGATGATAATGATGATGGTGATAGTGATGATGATGATAATGATTATGATAAGGAGGAAGAGGATAATGATAAAGATAATAATAAAATTATGAAAATCTGATTGCAAACAAGAGCTTATGATTATCAGCATCACTGCATTACTGAAATAACATCTTTAATGAACATTACCTGTAACTGTGAGAACTAGTTACTATTCTTATAACTGGTGTGAATAACTAAAGGTAAATAGATTAATTCAGTGCCATTCATTCTCTACATAAAAATAATTTGCATATTGACAATGAATTAGTAAAAGAATAGCACAGAAGTTTTCAGTAACATTAATATTTCGAAATATATTCACATGACTTCAAAGAAGAAAAAAAATGATCTTGTTTTTTGTGTAAATCTTTATTAAAATTGCAACAATGCATGAATGGTTACAATAACATGATGAGGGTGGATCGTTACAGAAAAAAATGATAAAATAATACTAACAAAAACCTGAAAAAAGATGAGTTACAATACACTTTCTTTCTTTTTTTTGGGGGGGGGATTCAAAAATGAGAAGGAAAGGGTTGAAAAAAAAGCATAAAATAAAAAGTTCAAAGTGACCCACCACAAGAAAGTAAAGTCATTTACCATTTATCAGTATCACAAACTTTATAGTCACTTTAACTCTTCAGTACATCAGGATCAAATTTAAAAGTTGGAAAAGGGAATTTTAAAGTGACAAAAATAACACATATACATCCTACGTGAGCAAATCATACTGTAGGTTGTACAAGAAAATATAGTAAATTCAAGTTGACTTTTAAATACAATGGAAAGTGTCCCATATAGGCATACTATACTTTACCCAATTATGAATCAGTAATTAATTAAATTTGTCCAACCAATTAACATGAACACAAAATTGATAGATGACAGATCGCAAAAATGACTCTTTTCAATTACATTTATATTATGACTTTATGCATTCCTTCTCCATCCATTTGCTTATTTACATATTTCAATTATTTATTCATTGCCTGATAGATTGCACCTTATATAATATTTTATGATATTACTAGAATAATTGATTATATACTTTTAAAACTCAAGTACTGGTTTTGGCCTGTTTGTCCATTTATTAATTTCTCGAACCTGCACACTCCATGAGAAAGAAATAGGGTATTACTTTTATATCACTCATTGGACAGAATTAAGCACAACACAGGAAGTAATGTCTTTACTATCTTATCTATTAGTAATAAAATGCTTATCAAAGACTATAAGTGCTAACATTTTTTTTTGTGATTTTTTTTTTGTATTTTAGAGCTATTATTCATTGGCTCTATAACCATATTTGGGTGTAGGAAAAGGGAAAATCTTTTATACCATTTAACCCATTGCCGCCGAGGATAATGAACAAAAAATGAGGAAAATGCTGTACTCATTTTTTTATATTTTTGTGAAATATCTCTGTACATAGATGGCGCTGCTAGTCCTGATTTCACTTTTCCTTGAATTGGCGGGAAAAACGTATTCTTACTAGTTCTACAAATATAGATGGTGTTATTTTGAACAGCAAATTAGGATAACGTTAAATATTTTCATAAATCGATGAAAAGGGTGAACGGGCGAGACAGGCAGTACTCGTAACTGGCTCATTGGATACTTAGTACATGTGCAGCCATCTATGTGTAAAAACAAACAAGCAAGTCAACTCAGAGTGGGCATGGCATATACGTACATGCCATCCCCAGCGGCAATGGCTTAACCTGAAGAGGAATAATACAATTATTTAAAAGATTTCTATATCTTTATTCTTGCTGTTACATCCATACCTGAACATGATGACATAACATTCACTCAACGATGATATATCATTTACTCGGTGACAGAGGACAAGTGCAAATTTACAATAAATTTATTTGAATGCTGTACTCCATGATCTTCAAAACAGAAAAAGACTGAACTAATGTCATTTCACTACACATGCTTATTCAAATTATCTCATTAAGATCTTAGTCCTCTAGAGTAATATATACAATACAATTTTTGATGCCGAGTTCTATTCTTTATTATTACCTTCCAAAAGACTTGTTTTCTAACACATCTAAAGTCTCGGTTTTCCCACTATTCTTCAAAGATTTATATACTGTATACAATTATTAGATTACTTAGGAATATCCAAATAATATATACTCTTTCCTGACTTTCTTGTATAGAACTACTGTATAACATACATAGGGAAACCTAAATAAAAATGATGATAAACAAAGAATTATTCTTGTGAAAAATGCCTCATAATGATGTAATGATTATGCGAGACCCATCCTTACAATCATTCAAGTAAAGAGGAGCATATGAATTGACAATATACATGAGTTAAAAGTGGAAAAAAAAACCTGCATGTTTATTAAAAATAGTCGTGCAAAAATATTTCAGATTTATATATAAAGGCTTGGCAACTAGCTAATCTTACTGACACCTACTATAACTACGAGCCTATGACACCTTATACCTGCTTACTCACGGACTGTAAGCAACCACAGAGCCAGTGACATTCATGCCAACACGAAAACTACTTTATAGCTGGTGAGAAGTCAGCATATCCTGCTTTGCCGACTTTTTGCTTAAGGCAGTAATGTTTCTCCTATAGTGGAATATGCAAGTTAGCAACTTAACAACTGAAACAATGCAAAAAGAACTTGCTACCATTATCCAAAGTTTTTTCTTTGTTTTTTGTTTTATTTTTCTTGAAGCTGTTTATTTCCACAACCGGCCCAGAGAGCTACCTCTGTAAAGTCTTGAAGAAAGAATTTAAGCAAACTGAAAAATCATAACAAAAAAAAAAGTACATAAAGGTACCTCTTTCTTAGATATCATATGATCCATGCCTGTATCTAGTTGGTTATAACTATGAAACTAAGAATAAAAGATAAATAGAATTCACTGGTTTAAGGAGAGAAAAAAAAAAACAATAACAGAATATTATGATAACAGTATCTTATTATATTATGAATGGGTTTGATAAATCCTATTACGGCCAGCAGCTTTTAAATACAACCGAGTGCTCATCTGTTGGTAATAAATGCAAACACACATAAGACTAACTCCTCCATCACTCTCACTGGTAATAAAGCAGAAAAATACACATCTATAAAATAACTTATTGTAAACAGAACATAAATAAATACATTAAAGCACCTGGTAACCTCCATAAAGCTGCTCAAAAAAAAAAATAATAAATAAAAAATAATACAATTATATTATATTTAAGCAGATTCTTTCTACACATATTTACTTATTTATCCTCAATTTCCCCTGATGACTTACTCTTCACACACTCAGAATTTTTTTTTTTTTTTTACAATGCATGAATTACACTACATCCACATTTTACAGGCATTCACATTAAAGGAAAACAAGCAAATACTCTTATCTTTATCAAGACACATTTGGAAAACATAATCACTCCTAAACACAACACTGCAACATGGCTTAAGCCTACGTTCGTAAAAAAAAAAAAAATGTAACCAAAACAAAAGCAAAGAGCGAAGAACATAACATGCCCTTGACCGTCATTATGAGTTTAATGTGATCCTTGGCCATGCAACAGGCATGCAACAAACTATGTGGCGGCTGATTTTCAAGAAGTTTGAGGCCTGTGTGGCTGCTCCTCAAGCAAAATAGAACAAGCGACATCTTTCAGTTTGGCATCTCAGGTTGAGGTAAATATTAGCCTGCTAGAGGCAACCTAAAGCATTTTTAGTATATACAATCCTTCTTCCTATTCTTATTTTCCTTTATACAGCACTGTCTTTCATATTGTGTTTTGTTTTTAACACACATAATAAGTTAGAAGAGAAAATACACACAGAAAATTATATAACCACAAAAAAAGAGATGTTTACAAAAGAGTTGTTTACATAAATGGTATATCATTGCACAAAGCCTTTAAAAACATGCATAAAATCATATACATTTGAAAAGTAAATGCTTCACTGCAATTACAGAAAAGAGGCACATTTATTGCAGTATATACATTAAATGACAAAATCATATACATATACTGTACAAACATACCTTGACTCTACTTATCATTGGCCAAGGAAGACTGAAGCAAATGCCAAGAAACAACAGAGCAGAAATGAAGTAAAAAATCGGCTGGCAAAAGCAGTGTACCAATACTATGGTAAGGCAGCACCACCGATTGAATAGGAATAAAGCAAAAAAGCATTTGTCTTTATATGTCCTGACAAAAGCATCCACCAATAAATAAATACAAACTGTTTAATACACATATGTACACTTTCTTTGCATACTATAATATACATCACCAGCTTATGCCTCAGGAATATTATGCCTGAAGTCCATGTTTTTTTCTTTGGTTCCCATGTTAATAATAATATGTATGCCTATCAGATCCGATCACTTCAGAGTAATTTTAGTCTTGGCTCTATCTCCTCTGAATCAGTTTTCCATTTCCTGCAGTTTGTCCGAAGCCTCGTTTAGAACATCTTCTTCTTTACTGCTGTGTATCTCTCCATGTACTGAAAGCAGAACAGGAAGTCATGTGTTAAAAAATTCCAAACCATTTCTCCACAGATACCTCATCATACAATTAGTGTCTTTTAACAAGTAGAAAATTAGATAAACTGAAGGCAAAGGTAAAATATGAAACAAGGATAACAATAAGGCAGATTATCGCAAGTATACTGCAAAAATATCCGATCCATCACTGTCAATGTCATGAAATGAAGTTTTACCCAATGTTGCCAGAATGGCAAGAAAACATGCCATGTCCACTGAGCCCTTTTTGTTTATCGTCTTTGCACATAAATGGCTCTAAAAGTGCTTTATTACGAAGGAGTCAGTTCCTAGTCCTACCTAGCTCACCTGTTTACCGTTTTCCTTAATTAAGAAAAAAAAATCATACTATTTGTATTAATAAGATGATGATGATGATGATGATGATGATGATGATGATAATGATAATGATGATGATGATGATGATGATGATGATGATGATGATGATGATGATGATGATGATGATGATGATGATGATGATGATGATGATGATGATGATCAATAATAACAACATTGATATTAATAGCATTAGAAAAAATATCTTCCCAAAACCTCAAGGAAAGGGGAAATCAGTTAAGGACACGTTGGCTTACTAACTGGCTTCTTGGTGGCTAAGCACTTGTGAAGTCCTGGCACCATTGGATTAAAACTGGAGTAATAACCCTATATGAACAACCATATACAAAAAAAATATATATTATTAGAATAAAGAACTGACTGAATGCTGACTAACTCTCACAGGATTCATTTCCTATTAAAAACTCTGGTATCAAAGGCTGCCTTATAATTTTTTAAAAAGTAGTGATCTTAGTTACCAGGTG